ACAGGAAATACAAGAGGCAAGTAGCAGTGATAATTCATCAATTTATTTATTTATTTTTATTTTTTTTTTTTTAATATATCTCGGGCCAAGGAGAAACGTAACTGATCGAGGGGTTAGATGTAAGAAAGTTTGAAGATGGAAAACGACAGGAATTTTGAGAAGTAGAGAGTTATGAAAATTAAACTTAAAGGATTTTACAGGTCTGCAGAAATTGTTGGTATTATAAGGGGATGATTAATTAGGGGTTTTACTCTGAACTCCAACAAACAAAACAAAATTAATTAACAAAATCTAATTGGTAATTAAAGGCACCGAAATTAAATTTAACCACTACTGAATACTTAACAAGAACATAACATAAAGAAAATCGACAGAGGGCAAGGCATTGCAAAATATAAAAGAAACAATAAAATAAAAGAAATAATCTGATGGGTGAGTCGAGATGCTGATTTGTGTTCCTGATCGAATCAGTCACGCACTTGAGCCTACATGGAAGCAGCCCGTTTTGGGTTTTACGTGGGGGACTGAGTCCAGTGACACTCGCAGTGGCTAGCTGCAAGGCTGCATGAGCTTTGACTGCCTCCTCCAAGGCACATGAAGCACTCATGACTAGGTCTCGAACACTAATTAGAAGAAATAAAAAAGAAAAAAAAAAAAAAAGCACAAAAGGTAGAACAATATGGAGCCGCTAGACGACGCTAGTTCGTTTTCTCCAGTGAATGGCTTACGGCAGAACCGTTCGGCCAGATAAAAAATAATAAAGAAAGTTCAGATTCAGGGAGCGTTCCAATGGCACGAAGTGTTGTATCCCCAGATACAAAGACTTCGTGGATTCCCTGGTATCACCGCGTGATGATGGTCACCCTGTAGTTAATACAGCAAGGACAGGAAATCAACGCCTTCATGTAAAATCAAGTGCATGAGCATCTGAGTCGGTCAGAAGCAGCAAATTGTTCTTAAAACTAAATTATTCTAACATTGAACGTGTGGCCAGGTACACAAACATAAAAATGAGGAGAGAGAATATACTTACATCATACAATAAAATGTGTATAGCTGTTTTGTCCTCAGACACAGATATACAAATGATTGAGGGAAGGGGAAAAGAGAAAAAAAACTACGCACAAAGTTTCTAGGGCGGTTGGGTGAAGGGGTATCGTGAAACAACTAACCCCCTTCCCCAACAGAAAGGTAAAAAAAAAATTGGAAAAAAAAGGAGTCGCAACGAGTTTTTTTTTTTTTTTTTTTTTTTTTTTTTTTTTTTTTAATAATACTCGTAGAGAGGGACAGTCTTAGCATAGTAGAAAATAGATTGTAGGTCTATTAGGACAAACTAAAACAAACAAGAATGGGACATGAAGGTTAACAAAAGGAAATGAATATGACAGTAATGATGACAGGTAAAATTAGGAAGAACAATAATAAGATACATAAGGTTTTTAAGGTTTTTAAAAAAAAGTAAAGGAGAAGAAATAGTATGTAAATAAACTTAATACTAGAGCATGGCAGAACAATTAGGAAAGAAGTTCACAATACTGTGTAGGAAAGTTCTACTCGCAGAGCTTGCGCAGGTTGACCAGATTATATACACCTTTAATCTCATCAGTTTTTGGGTCTTTTAGTTCAAAGGCATTGGAACCTACTACTCGGGTGATGATGTATGGGCCGTCATACAGTCGAAAGAACTTTTTCATCTCGCCATAGAAGGCATTTGAAAGGTGATGGGTTTTTAAGAGGACTTTAACCCCAACTTTGAATGGAGTTTCAGTATCAGTTGGGCCATGGCGTTTTTGTCTTCTTGCAGCACTTTTTGACAAATTTATATTAACCAGGGCAAACTTTTCCGCTTGGGAGGTGGTTGGGGCCTGAGGTGGGAATGTGATGAAATTCTGAAGGAAGTTTTGGGGCGATTCGCCCTTAAAAATTTCAAGGGGAGTGCTATAACGGAAAAACGAGAGCGAGCAGAGACGTGTTATCAGAATGAGTTTATTCGATAGAGAAAGACAGAGTGCGCCTCCACGGCCTAACCCTGACGGAGAGACACATCTCCGCCATTACATGTTACTATGGGATATTACAGTCTTCCCCACTAAAAAGAAAAAGCACATTGGTTGGGCTTGGGGTACAGAAAAAATAACTAGGGGTACAATACAAATTATTTGGGAACAAAGTCTTTCAAATGTCCTGGCACTTTTTTGATACGAGAGGGGCGGTCTAACACAGGCGACCGTATAGTTGCCCTACCTCTTCCTACACTTGGCAGCTTCCTAGGAGTCTGGCTTGTTAGGTCAATGACTGGAGGCGGAACGTCTTGATTCGCAGATTGGCTAGTTGACGGCAGAGGGACCGGGCTTGGCAGGCTACCATGGCTGGTAAGAGGCA